TCTTACTCTATAGGTGCATGCAATCTAAGAGCACACGGCAATCAGATGAAGATATATTTGTTGTCTCGTTGTCGTGTCATCTTCTTTTCCACGTCTTCCCTTTCATTGTCTCTGTCGCTGTCTCTCTCCCATTATCGTCTGTTTTCATTTCTTTTCAACGCTTCAATTAGGGCACATCCAGCAATGTAACCTTGTAGCTACCCCCATTCTATTTCAGTAGATCTGAGGACACTTAATGGATGTATAAATGTTAATAATAATTTTTTTATTATTTGTTTAATATTTTGTTTAAAGGTACTATGTCCCATTTGCAGGCCAAAAAATGAAAAGGTTAAATTCCAACGGCATTTGAAAGATAATACTAATTTAGAACTTCCCTAAAAAAGGGGGGCTTGAAAATGTCTTTAAGTCGGAAAATAACGACTATTAGTAATGTTCTCGAATCGACTTAAGAGCTATAGAGCCAGTAAGCAATAGTCTGATTTTCAGACCCTTGTACCGAATGGTCGTACGTTTTATGCTGCGCAAAGATTCAATCAGTTTAATTTTGGCCATCACAAGAAGTGGGTTATTGATGTAGACAAATGCTCATGTACCCTTTTCAAGTATTTTCATGTATGTTATTACCAAAGAAGAAAAAAGCCAGTCAGTCACTCAATAGTGTCTGACAGTGAAGTCTAGCAAGTAAACGGGTTTCCTTGCATAATTTGAATATTAGGACACTGCTAACGTTTAACTTTCACAGATAGGACATACATGACATATTCATAATTCCTGCAAAGTTCTACAGAATTTGATGTTGGCTGCAAAAGGGACATAGTATCTTTAAAATAGCTGGCGATGCAACTCATTCGCCTCTGCTTCCAAACTCTGGAACAGACTCCCTCCTCAATTAAAATCATCACCCACGGTACAGCAATTCAAACAGAGTCTGTAGGACATACCTATTTTGAAATCATTTGCATTCATTGAACTCACACGGTCACTGCTTGGTAATTTGTAAGGCCTTCATATTTAAAAGCCCATCTGCACTAGTTTGGCCGGGAGGGATTAAACCTCCCTGCATGGTCACTGACAGGTGGCTATCTCATCAACTCAGCTCTCAATTAACATAAGAAAAAGAGAATCACGGGGGACCAATGGTCACCGATTAGGTATTGTTTTCTATATAGAGGGAGCAAGTAGCTACAAGTAGTACAGTGGGCCTTTAGACATAAGTCAGATATACGAGGGCTATAGCGGAGTTGAGGCTTGATTTGCTTGCAGCCGTCTCCTGCATCAAGGACAAAAGATAAGAAGGGATGAGAGCGACTTGGAAAGAGGGAGAAAGAGAGGAGGGAAAACAGCGCTGGTTTTCTAAATCGCACCTGTCACTTTAAAAGAATACAGGTTCAGAGATATATGTCAAACTTCATCTAGATTATTTTCCGATTTCTTTTTCTTAATCATAAATAATACCTGTCTTATTAAAATAGCGACTCTAATTTTTAAAAGGGGTGAATTATTCATAGTGTGGTGCTAAAGAGATATTATTTTCTCATTTCAAACTGAGGACCATCTCCCTTCTCTATGAGGTTCAAAGATAATTTGTATCTTTAGATATTTGTCAATTAATATTCACCTAGATCATATTCCAATTTCCTGTTCTCAATCGTAAATCATTTCTGTCTTATTTAAATCCCGACTCCAATCAAAAATTGTGAATTATTCATTGTATGGCCTGTAAGAGATTTTCTATTTATGGTAAAAGTGGAGCCGTCATATTGCGAAGGATAAGCAAATGATCAATGTTCTATGAAAATTACTTTCTTTTTGGATTGTTATTAGATATTTCTGTTTACAAGTACTGATAATTTATCAAGAATTCGCAGAGGACTCGTCCCTGGCTCAACAATTAATATAAATGATTCATTTGCTTTCGATATATATATAAAACTGATCAGCAGCGTCGGATGGATAGGAAAAGAGCAATTATTATGGAAAATAAACCAAAATGCAAAATGTCAACAAAATAATGCATGTATTTTTGTATCAGAGAAGTAAAGAACTAGTTATAAAGATATCAAAATGATAACAATTTTCAACATTTTCTCAGAGTAGGAGAGGGGTTCCGGCACCTGTAAAATGATGGTAAAGATGGTGGCGTCTTTTATGGCGTACATGCATGTCAACCTTGCCATTGACGACAAATTCAAAAATTCATAACTCACTTTTTTTTAATCGGATCATGCTGAAATTTTCACTGACCTGTCCCCCCCCCGCCCCCCCCCCCCCCGTTTTCTGCTTATATTAAAACCAACTTAATACCAGGGTGGACTTCCCCTTTAAATCGAGGAGCTGAAGGTTCGAATCCAAGCTTCGCCTTACCACCCTATGGAAAGCCAAGGGTAAATGGTGCAAATGGATAACGTGAGTGAAATGAATAGGATTACAAGAACGACCCCCCCCCCCCAAGAAATAATTCAGACTGAATCGAAAGAAATTGCAAATAGGCCTTTGATTGTGAGATTTAAATGTCTGTCATTTAATTAATCATCAGATAATTGCAACGATAATATAAAAAAGATATACATTAATACATACAATATAATACAATAATCTCTGGAAATTACGTATAACACTGGACAGAATCGTACTGGAAAAGTAATATAACTGAATACATAGCAATTCATGCCTAGATAGTGCGGGATTCCGGCCTCCGGGTGACCGACACATTCAATTAAAGTCATCTAGACTTCTTCAGAACAAAGTCAAATACAGGCGCGTACGCAGGGGGGGGGGGGGGGGGGGTTTAGGGTTACCCTCTTATGTCCTTCGGCCCGATTTCAAAATGTTGACCCCCCCCCCCCCCTTGAAAAATTCCTGCGTACGCAACTGGTCAAAAACATATAATCTTATCTAAGTCAGTCGCTGTCACTGCTGTTAGGTATTTTCAATTGCGACATCTTTCGGCGAAAGAGTACAAAGATCTTTTACCTGTTATTGAATCATCATGCGCGCTTCATTCGTTGGGGATGCATTGTTGGACATTTTGTGCAGCAGTCTGTTGGCAGTATAATCGCAACTATGTACATAAGAGATAGGAGACTGCAAACTTGCGATTGATTGGAGGATTGGATCAATCGCAACTCTTTGTAAGACGGGGCCCATATGTTGAGTAATATACCAATACATTTGGCTTTCCTTTTACGGGGAAATCGTCGTAGACCCACAGCTCACGTTATTACCGCTCTAGGATCTTATAGCCACTTTTACGACACTATTATAGATAGGTACGTGTATTGACAACCAGCCTCCATAATTCACAAACCTCCATGCTAAAACCATAACCATTAGCTTATTTCTTGGAAATCACACTTTTGAAATAAGAATAATTCATTTGGCACGAATAAATCATTAACGCCTCTTAAATATTCAAAGAAAATATTCATTGATCCTTGTAAGAATCTATGATAAGTACTCAGGATTACCTATACTCGATGTGACCAAACTTTTGGCTATGTCAAAAACTCGTTACCAACACTAAATCACCGTTGTAATGGTTGGTTGATTAATTTGTTTCATCCGACTGCTAAGAAAAGCACGTGCATTGTATGCTTATTAACCAACCAGGAGACCAAAGGCTTTACGTCCTCTAAGAGGGACTTGGTAGGCATCAACGCCTTACCAAAGGGCCCTAGCGTATTGCCTTGGTTTCAAACCCGGGACCTCCTGGTTATGAGACCATCGCTCAACCGCTGAGCTTATCGCTCCACCCTTCGTGACTCTACGACGTCACTATGGTCAAAGATCCGTATTTTCACTTTGGTCACACAACCGAAGTCTACCGATTCATAGATGAAATTCAACCAATCAATACAGAAATAACGGTTTTAAAAAATTCGCGATTGCGCTACGTCGTCGTCGAATTTTCTTGGCGGAACCTAGTTATATGTTTCTTTCTAAGATGAGATAAGAATACCCTGGCAATCATTGCAAGTCGCCTACAGGTGCCGTTGTTCATCTGACTTTTCTTTACAACATACTCAGCTAGACCCGTCTCTTTCAACGAGCCTCGCGAAATCTCGCGAATTCTCGTCCCTTCCATACACTGATCTTTCACCTTGGCGCACATGGCTTTCAATTCGGCCACCTCGGCGGCCATTTTCGTCCTTCCGAAGGCGTCGATCTTTTTCCATAGAGTCTTATTAAAGTGATCGTATAGTTTGACGTCACCCGCGTTCCACCAATCAAGACGCTTCACCACATCGTCCGCTGCTCTCTCGTCCTCCACAGACGGTACTGCAGAATGCGGGTCCAGCGAAATCTTGATCTTGCTATGCACGTGCACAAGGCTTCGCATATCCCAGCAGAAAAGATCCTTCAGAAGAATCAGCGACTCGTAAAAATATTCCATGATTAGGACCAAATGGAACTTGGAGTCCAGGAACTCAATGTAGTCCAGGACCTGTTTCGGGTCGTCGCTGAAGCTTCGCTCCATCCCGAGATCGAAGAGCGTTGGATCCCGGCCGTTGTGTCGTTTGTATTTTCCCGAGCCGTATTTTTGGTAGAAGAACTCGGGGTTGAGCGAGTATTGCTCCAGCGTAGCCTTGTAAGTGTTTTCCATGACAAAGTAGGTATACATGCTCCGGAACTGATCCGATGACTTCCGGATGATCGTGATGTATTTGGTATCCGGCGGCATCAGGTTCTTGATATCTGCCAGACACGAAAATAAACACATGGTACCATAATGAGGATTTCATGTAGCATCGGTTGTCTACTACGACAAGGCTATCACAAAATTGAACAATGATGTTCTGCATTCATTTACCGAACACAAATATATAAATAACGACATACATGATAACGTGAATGAACTATCTGTGTCAATACAGCACTGTTGTTCTACCGAGGGGTCGAAAATAACATACTAAATCATGAACAAACTTGTGTTTTTCTTCATGAATAGTTTTAAAAATCAGAATGCTGTTAGTTTTGTTGATTTGAAGAGAGATGTTGAGAAGGTTGATATAGGTTTCGCCATCTTGGGGATACAATTTTCAGTGTTGGAGCATGTGGGATTACAGTGGCAAGAAGATACAGATTTGGCTGGATAGAGTTTAATGACCTGAACCTGATCAATGCTGGTAGAAGGTTTACGATGAGAATAAAAGGAAATATAATATCGATATTCGTTTGTCTCGCAATGTATGGTCAACAATGGATCTAAGAGATCACGACGTTTCGTGCGCCGCTACACCACTTCGTCAGGTGATAAAAGATATTGTAAGCAAGCGTCTTTTATACTCTACTCTACTTCTTGACCATACATTGCGAGACAAACGAATATCACTAGCGATATTATTCTTGATATATCCGCAATGAGTAATATATTTAGCATTATGGTCTATAATGCCTGAGTGAGATTAGCGATGGCAGATGGATCATAAACTTGGAATATGAAGACAGTAGAAGAAGGTATCTTGAGGAGAACAGAGAGAGCCATGATATTGAAGATGTGTGGTGTGAAACTGTCCGATAGAAAGAACGCTAGGGAGCTCATGAAAAGGTCGGGTCTGGAAGAAACTGGTGGAAGTGGTCAAGAGAAGTGGAGTGAGATAGATGGGTCATGTGTTGAGAAGGGAAGACGATGAATCTGTGTAGAAAGTATGGAATATGGAAGTAGATGGCAGAGGGAAATGTTTTCATTCAATTCAATTCAATTCATCTTTATTCAACGATATTAAAGAAAATAGTATTATAATGCAATAAAACATATTGACATAATCATATACATGTATAAAATTAACATATCGTGAGGGGCAACCAAAAAAGATCAAGATCTTCTGGACTGGTGCCACTTTGACAAAATTAACAAATTATAAGTAAAACATTAATAATAATCACAAGCTGACACATCCAACACACACATACACTCACCCAAGAGAAGGGAAGGAGAAAGAGAGATTACATGTACAGTGTACATATATGAGGTAAACTTATTAAAAAGATATATGGAAATCAAGAAGTATATTTATGAATAAAGTGACTTTTGAGTAAGACTTTGAAGGAGGAGGCTGCTGTTGAACATGGACGAATGATTGTATTTAAATTATTAAAAATCTTCGGTCCTACATGTTTAAAAGAATTATACATTTGCGTATTAGAAATTAATGGAAGGTGAAATTGGGAAGCTGAACGTGTGTAACGTGTGGAAAAATATGGTGAAGAAACCGGTAAGGTTGGCCTAAATGAGGAGAATGCTTTAACCCTTACTGTACTGGGGGGGGGGGGGCTGGGAGGCCCCCCCCCCCTCGACATTTTCGGAGATCGCGCCGCAACCGCTTAGAATTTTGAATTGTCGTTTCATGACTTTTTTCCCTCAAGTCTTGCGCACATTTTGATACCATTTTCGTCAAAATCGGATATACCTGTAAGGTGTTACATAACAATTAGCATGCGCATGTCATCAAAAAAGTGCTATAATTGCATATATTCATGTACAAGCAGAAATGTGAAGATATGAATTGATATCAAATTGCTTTTATATGTTTCTCAGAGTAACTTGATGTATTCCAGAACAAAAGAATACATTAGAAATAAAACAATAGATATAATAAGAAATTAAAAAACAATAAAATACATAAGAAAATAAATAATTGAAAATCGCATCAAATTTGCATAAATTATCATTATTAATTACATCAAATATCTATTTTGTGTTAGAAAAGAAGTTTCATATGAATAATGAGTTTCAACATTCAAAAAGTGGAGTCTGACAATTTTTGTAATGATTCTAGTTCCCTAAATATAGTTCCAGATTTGATATTCAGGAATGCGTAATTTGCGTATTCATAATTTATGCAAATTAACCTATGCATTTTCAAATTTCATAAAAATAATGAAACCTCATGAATTTGAGATGAAGGAAACATTTATTCAATACATTTTCAAGATTCTTCACAAGTCTACGGACAAATATGTAGAGTTTTCTGTAAAATGCATAAAATTAGCATTTTGCATAATTAATTAGGCTATAACGACAAAAATTTGCATATTAGGAAAAAACTAATTATACCATCTTGTTCCTTACGTAAATATCTACAAATATGCAAATTTGCGTGTTCATCGGACATTCGACGGCCGAGATCATAGGGGGGGGGGGGGCCTCCCAGGCCCCCCCCCCCCCAGTCAGAGGGTGCTCAAAATAGCCCAGTACAGTAAGGGTTAGACGAGAAAATTGGAGGGAGTGTCATCATGGCACGAAAGTCAATAACCTCTCGTAAAAGGGAAGATTCTGACTTTAATTGAATATAATGGTTTGACCACTTTTAAGGATCGATTTAATGACAAAAAGTTGCACTCCGGCGTCTGATCTATTCAGAATGTATTTAGCAAATATTTTCGGTCAAATTTTATTTTATGAAATAATTATTTGCTTCGTGGGCACAGTCGCCAACATCAATCAGACAAGTTGCTTTATCTCTCCCACGAATCGAGCTTTGAAGACATACTTTCCGTTTGAAAAGAAGAAAAAAAGTAGTACCATTTCGGACCCTGTTTCATCCAAAACAATTACTGCATCCTCGACAGTGATCAGGATGTAGGGATGAACTGTGAGTGTGAAGGGGCATTGAGCAGATCAATGTTAGTTTTCCTGACGTAGATTTCCATTAAACAATTTTGTAGTCATAACATTAGATTATGTCCACGACTTACCATTGTAGAAGAACCGGACGTGGTTAGCCATTATGTTGATTTGTCTTCCCGGTCGCACTGGTAATATACTCGAAGGTTCAAACTCGCGCACTGATTGGATGTACACATCACGTGCCGGAAGGGCAAAGGTCAAATTCTTTTCATCACCATATCGATAGATAATGTTCTGCAACGTCGAGCTTCCTGTTTTATGTGTCTTAATGTAAACAATATTTGAATGCGGCTTGCACGTAGCATGATCCTCTTTCGAATCAAATGCTATCTTCTCATCGATAATGCTAGCACCATCAGTATCGTCTCTATTTGGTATCGTGTCAGCCCGGTTTCGCTTCGAGGTTCGCCGAACGCCGATCTTGGAATCGGATAGCGGTTTGAATGCGATGTTCGATTTGCTCTTGTCCTTGGGATATATCCGTCGAATGTTCGGAGCTGGGCGTCCGAACGGATGCGAGAAAACCGCGTAAGAGGAGTGGTCATAACCGGCGTTGTCACCGCTAACCGATGATTCTCTGTCGTCTTCGCTTGCGTCATGGCTGACGTCATTTCTAGGAATAACGGATTTGGAGAGACGGTTTTTGGTGCGGTGGATGACGGGTTGGTGCTGGAGATTGTTTAACCATCTGGAAAGACAATAGCAAAAGCTTGATTTTGAACATTACATCGTAAAACATATTTTTATTACATAACTGCAAATCAACAATCTTGACTTGTTTTGTCAAAACACGATAGCAAAAACTAAAATTGCCTTTTCCATTACCCTGTGACATATGTGAATATAAAGGTCTACAATAGGGTGTAAGAGATCGAAAGAAAAAAAATAATACACTACTCCGAATATGCAGGAATCGGTCGGCTAATCGGTCGGTTTGTGGCCGGTTTGGAATCGGTCGGTTAATCGCACGTTTTTTGGTCGGGTTGGAATCGGTCGGTTAGTCGGTCGTTTTTTGGCCAGGTTGGAGTCGGTCTTGGCGGTGTGACTGCGATATCAAACTCAACACTATGCATAAACATGATGTTATTCTAAACCGATATGCAACCTAAGCACAACCGAAACCTTTCCCCAACAATTTATATTCTTTCGACAAAATAAAGTCTGGAGCAAACGCTGCCGAAGCACATGTGTGTGTAATTGGGTTTTTACAGACGTGTATCAATCAGATATGATTATTTACGTCTGGGGACCGACCTTTAAACATCACCATCCGAAAGACATGACTCAGTTACGAACTAGCTGCGTCCTTGGCTGAATCAGTTTATAACTGTCATTGTTAGCTGGATTATAATCAGTTATATTATAGTCCATTTTCACGGCCAGGGATCGCCAAGACTTTCGAGAAACCGCCTAAGACAATTCAACAGCCTTTTTCATCACAATACGGACATTATAATTTTTCAACAACGAATTACATAATCTGGATATGATTTCCATAATGCTAAATATATTACTCATTGCGGATATAGTATCGAAAATAAAGTCGCAGTGACATTCGTTTGTCTCGCAATGGTACTAAAATTGGCTTTGAGTTGATTTCTTAAAAGCCTTTGCGATCATGTCTGTCTTACCTATCTCCGATCCATTCTAGCTTCTTGGCAGGCTCGTTCGCACTGCGCTCCTGCAGCTCCTGTGGTTTTGTGCTGGTTTGTTTGTTGAAAGACAAGAGTAGGAGAAGGATGTAGATCCCTAAAGTAGCCGATAGGATGATGAACTTCTCCGGGGATATCTTACAGTAGTACCTCATCTTGACCACGGTCGGTTATCTTGAGCTGCAGAGAGGGAAAGATGGGATTAAAAAGAATATATCACTTATTGGGGCGTTGCAAGAAAGTTGCGATTGATTGCAAGTTGCACAATGCGCAACTGATATTAATTTTGCAGTCGATTGCAACTCAATTTTATTCACACCCTCCCCCCCCCCCCCCTCTCTCTCTCTCTCTCCTTTACTAATGGGGCGTTGCAAGAAAGTTGAATTGCGATTAATTATTTGCAATTAATCATTTTTAGCAATTAAATTAAGTTAACTAGATCTAGCTTTTATTCTCCCCCCCCTCTCTCTCTCTCCCTCTCTCTCTCTTTCTCTCTCTCTCTCTCTCTCTCTCTCTCTCTCTCTCTCTCTCCCTCCCTTACTAATGGGGCGTTGCAAGGAAGTTGAGTTGCGATCAATTGCAAGTTTGCAATTAATCGCAAGACTTGCGCTTGATTCTGAGGATTTGCAACGCCCCATTTTGGTTGATAAATTGCAAGAAATCTGCTCGAATGAACCTGTTGAAACTGCCTATCCATTGTTTAAAATGATGTTACTTCCTCGTCAGAAAAAACAAAACACTTGGCAAAAACAGCAACGATTTGTTCAATACCACATCCTATTTTATCAGGGAAGCTGTCTTTTAAGTTTTGTTACAGCTGTGCCCAATTTAGTTCTGACATTATTATGGCAGAACTAAATTGGGCACAGTTGTAATGTTTATGTCATTCACATGTATTTATGTATCAAATTGCAAGTTTTAAATTGATGTGTTTTTACAATGATTTATGAAAAGATGGAATCTAATAAAGCGAATTTAATTGAATTGAATCTCTTCTATAAATATTTTTTCCGCAACAGCAAAAAGAATGAAAACTATCACAAACTATTCATCTTTCCTATAATGTTGTCTTCTTTTAAAGATAAACTTGAGTTCTGGGAAATATAGAAAATATATTCTCACAGAATCCAACGGAATGTACACTGAATGTTCAAGATAACAAATAAATGACGCATAAAATGTATAGGGGCTGAGTAATCAGCATAGAAAGATAAGGAAATCAAGGTAAGTAGGCCCGACACTATACGTGCTTCACACAGGTCACTATGTGCAAATAAGAGTTGTGGTTTTTATTGAAGATGATTTCCAGCAGGGTTTTTTTGTGAGTTTATTTCTATTTTACTGGTTCAAACAATCAATCTACTGCAGGATAAACAATCCAGAATGAATTATAGCCATGTTCTCTGAACATACGATTCCCATACAAGAGCTCAAGATTAGCTTTAAACTTCGATATTCAACTAATCAAGAGTGGCAATGAAATTTGGCCTACATATCACAAAAAGAAACATTCGTGATGTATGAGGAAATCAGCGCCAAGGTCCACAGGAATCAGCTGGTCTATGGCGACATCTTCACGGAACAATTGGTTTCTAACTTCCTTCCTACCGGAAAACTTCTCTTTGCTAGTATCATCACAAGTGAAACTATGAGCAAGTAATAGTTCAAAGATCGACCAGTCAGTCACCTCAGGTAATATAAAACATATTGACTGCTCTCAGGGGCATGTTTAAAGGCTTGTTTAACAATGTTTCAAGTTTTACAAATCTGAGATTCATGGCCCTACGTGTTTAATATCAGTGTCTGTGATATGATGTAATATTGAAGCCCTAGCTAAACAAAAATGCGCTTCAAAATGATCCAAAAGTGCCTCAAAAAGTAAAAAATCTTTGAGTGACCGGTTTTTACCGTACTCATTTTCCCCATAAGATTGTAGTGTAGTGAAAAGTGTTGGGAAAATGGTTTTTGAAATTTCGAATTCCAATCATAAATATCGTGATAATCAGATACTAGTAGGCGATCGGCTTGTAAAAGTCAAGGGATTCCTGAAAGCTTTATAATTATGATTGCAGCATGAGCTAAATCCAGGATTTTGTTTAGAATCTGAGGCAAAGATACCCTATCCCTTTAACCTTTCCTTTGCCACAAGTACCAATATGCAAGGGCGCTCGTTTGTCGCGCGGGCTGATTTGCACAAAACAATAGGGATCTGTTAGCAGAAAGGGTTGCTTTGTGCAACACATAACCGTTGCAAAATTACATATTTTCGGTCTTTATAGGCTACTAAACAACCCTTCCATCATAATTATAGACCTATAGATTAGTTTTACACTGGGAATATTTGATTAAAAATTGATTGAATATTAAAAAAGGGAAAAGAGCTTTTGCATCGAGGTTCTTCAGTTGTTCCGCGTATTTCTTCTCACAATTGGGTCGGATTTGATTAAGTTCACTTTACTTTCAAGTCCATTGTTTGCACTGTGTAGGCATAGATATCAAACAGATCGACTATTTTATTCCTCTCTTTTTGCTCAAATCTTCAATCTGTTGTTGGATTGACGTGTGAGCAGAGCATACAATCGTAAAAAGATTATATGTTTACATAATTATTTGCATGACCGATCAAACATCGATCGACAAAAGCAATCATGATGCTAAGTGTTGATCAAATAGAGCATAACACTTGACATAACGCTTCTTATCCTTCTTCTTCTTCTTCTTCATCGTCTACTACTACTGTTGCTACTACTAATACTTCTAAATCTACTACTACTATCTCCTGTTCTTCTGCTTATTTTCTTGCTCCTCGTCTTCTTCCTCATTCTTCTTCTTTGTCTCCTCCTCTTTCTTTTCCCCTCCTCCTCCTGATTCTTCGTCTCCTCCTCTTCTTCCTCCTCCTTATTCTTCTTTTTTAAATCTTTCTTCTCTTCATTATTCTTCTTCTTCTGACTTAGACTTTACTTAAATTGTATGGTCTTGGCTAACCTCCACTTTGCGTCACAGAAAGCAAGTATACCGATCAGGCTTTAGGCCTACATGATTCCATTGTTAAAATAAACTGCCGCCAAATGGTCGACTTTTTTCTTTTTCATTTGAAATCTTATTTCGATTTACAGAGTTGTATTATGAGGTTTTGTAACCCTGGCAAAACAAATTACTTTAGTCTTCTCTTACAAACAGTTAAGGCATCGAACAACAATAAAGCCAACATGGTACGGGACTACACAAACATGTCTTAATTCAGAGTTTTCGGGTCCACAATTCTGGCGAACACTTTAATGGCAGTTGTTTACATGGGTCATTTCAGCTGTGATATTCTTCCACGATCGACATTCAAAGGAGTTAGCAAAAGTAAAACAAAAAATAAATCGTAGCAACGAGATCTTCATTTCAGGATTTTACTCAAGATTCACAAATCCTCTTACTAAGAAGATCAGTTAGTACTTATAGCGAAGAAGAAGAAGAAATACAATAAAACAATCTGCAAGGGTTGTTTGCAAAGTCGGTAGTTTTTTAATATTTGATTGCCAATTCGTGTATATCCACACAAGACTGGTATGTCAATAGGCTATGCTGTGTTATCGTGGAGTACTGGAGTGTGTGATTACAATTTTATTTGCTTCTCTCAGCGGGTATTTGATTTAGGTTCTTAACGTGACACCAACTTGAAAAGTGCAAACATTCCTCATCGAAGATACCATAGTTCTGAGCACGGGAGTCTAGACAACAACCTTCACTATGCGTTACCGTCAAGGTCGTAAAATTTGTGATAACTGATCTTCTTCTGCTTGAAATAAACGAAGTTCTATGCCTTACTTTTCTATTATGATTAATCTGCTTCTTTTTTGTAACCTACCATATTCTACAAATTAGTGATAGATCTGGTTTTTATTTCTATTCAGAATACGTAACTAGATTAGTATTTTTAGCCCCCCCCCCTTCCTGCCCTGTATTGTAATCTATTCTTTTAAAGTCTTGTTTGTTGTTGTTGTTGTTCCTGTAAAGGTGATCTGTGTTGAACAAGCTGTGCTTTTTTTTTACAGACCACCTCTTTTCCACATTTTCAATGTCTGTATAACTTTCTTGTTATTGTTCATGAATTTATTCTTGCTGACGATGAACGTGTTGTTACTGGTCATGAATTTATTGTTTTCATGCAAGTTGAAAGAAATAAATAAATCTTGAATCTTGGTCTATGCGACGTTAATAGACCGGTTAACTGACATATTCAAATGTATGGATGTTTCTTTCCTGGGGACCTAGTGATGAGGTATTCCATTAACCTGTTTTTAATGAATGAACTACAATACAGAATGCCTAAAATGTGAATATGTTAGTAAACGGGTCTAATGATCTATGCCGCAATTTTAATGATGCGCGCAGCCTTTATATAAATTTAATGGCCCGAATTCACAAAGGAGGTTTGTCGACAAACCTTGGTTTTCGTACGTCATATTATGACACGTTTTACGCGTTTTTTACAAACCTGGAGGTTTGGCGAAACAAAAGGAGGTTTGAGCTCAAACCTTGCTTTGTGAATTCGGGCCATAAAGACCCACATTTAGAGCTAAACTTTGCTCAAAGACTAGTTAATGTAACAAGACCGTTGATATTATCTGAAGGTAACATACAGCAGGTGAGCAAGCACAAAATGAGCTTCCGCTAACATTTATGTTGGTTCTCCATAACTCCCATTCAAAACATCGGTAAATAAATAAAGTACAGAAATCCGTTGCAAGGCCAATGGTTCAACAGGCATATCACAACACGTCAGTGGCTAATAAAGACCTTATGCGTGATTTCTTTGAAAAAGAAATGGATTGTACACATAAATGTGTTCTGACAGAATATTAAGTGTTCTGCAAAAAAGATGACGGTTCTCTAGATCTTTGTATTCTCCTAGATCTTTGTATTCTTCATGAAATTCGTACGCTACAGCGTCTGGCTGCCAAACCACATACCGCAAGCACAATAAGAGGGGGGGGGGGGGGGGGGGCAAAAAAGTCAGAAACAAAATGTTGAGGGTCATAACAATAAGAACAGGAAAATGAGTCATTTTACAAGCTTAAAAAAAAAATCGCTAAGTGAGTGCATGAGGCTTCATTATACATAGTACATGTATATAAAATTTACGACAAAACGACAAATCTCTGAATTTCATCGCTCTTTTCGACGGTTGAAATAGAAACGGACACCTGTCGGGTGAGGTGAAATATCTCGCCTTCTATGAACGCAGACATATCATTTTGGTCTAGTATTGTTATGTTTTGTTGTATGCATTTTGTTTTTTATCTGAAACAAAATAACGTATAATAATAGACAAATGCCCATGTAACTGTTACAGCTCATTTCATGTATGTTATTGCCAAAGAAAAAAAAGTCAGTCATAAAATTAATGCAGTCACTCAATGGTGTCTGACAGTGAATTCTAGCAATTAAACGTGTTTCCTTGCATAATTTGAATATTGGGACACTGCCAACGATTAAGTTCACAGATAGGACATACGTGACATATTCTTAATTCCTGCAAAGTTCTACAGAATACGATGTTTGCTGCAAATAGAATCAAGTAAGCCTTTTTTCAGCTTTATTCAATTTATTTTTTAAGGAGTGGGTTTCTATGTCCGGGCATCTGTACCATAACACTCGATGTACTCGGTAGCCTAGGAAACCATATGAGGAACACACTGAGGCCAAATCCACTGACAACAATTATGATAGTTAACAAACCCATGCACCTAATGCAAAGCAAAATTACTCTGTAACTTCGAGACAACTGATATTCACCAAATCACCTCGTACCCTGTCTGCTAAGGCCAAATAAAAAAAAAACATGTCCTGTTTTTTCGAAAAATAGGAAGGAGGAGGCCCCTTTTTTTTTTTTTTTTTTTTTTTTTTTCAAAATGGCCGCTCGGTACATTTTCCCTGACATTAGGGCTATTTTTCAAGATGGCGGCCGACATTTTTTTTTTTTTTTTTAAATCAGAAATAGATCCATTTTAGCAGTGTTTTTCATGTTTTTTTTCTTTACAAAAAAAAAATCAATACAAAAAAAAAAATTTAAAAAGAGGAGGCGACCCTACAAAAGGAAGCGGGCGGGGACGCTAAACATGTATATTTTTTTTACATGGCCTAACTTCGAGACAACTGATATTCACCAAATCAATTCGTACCCTGTCTGCTAACTTTCCACCTAGATTAGTTTTCTGTTGTCCGGTGTTTATTCTCCGAAGAGCCAAGATAATATTATGTAATTGTCAACTTCGAGGTAACTAATATTCACCAAATCACCTCAAACCCAGTCTACTGTCCATATGGTATAATAATAATTTAATCATAACCAACAAATGAATAATCATCAAATGATATACTAGACCTTTTGGATTGTAGACGAAATGGGCATTAGACAAACTGGGAAGAGTAAACTAACTGGTTATTAGACTTAATGAACAATAGAACAAATAATTATGTAGTAGACTAGTTGGAGAGTAGACCATATGAAAATTAGACCAAATTACTATAAGCCTGTAGACGAAATGATGATTAGACCATGTAGATAGTAGACCGTGTAGACGAGCTGGGTAGACCAAACGGAGATTCACCAGTATAGCCAGTTTTAGCCACGTATGTGAATCCTTCCGGGGATGTGTTTATACTTATGATAGTTTTTTTACCTTCGCGAACAGCTGTCAGTAATCTTATTGTCGTGTCCATGCCAGAAAATCATGGATATGAGAGACTGCAAAAAAGTAAGGGAATCGAGAGAAAAAAGGCTTACGCTCCAAAACAGAACGTACGACCTATCCAAATTTGATCCATATACCACGTGTATATCCAATCGCGGATCAGAGGCGGTGATGGGGGGGGGGGGGGGTGCCAGCCCCCCCACCACCACCAACCAAAAAAAGGGGGGGGGTTGAGGAAGAAGAAAGAAATCTGGGGCTGTTGGAGCAAATGAGGCAAGGTTGTTTTAAAAGTATTTCTTTCTGTAAAATCGGGGACCTGTTGATATTGTTTATACTGAACTCTAACCCAGATGCCACCTAAATCTAAAATCTTCCAGTCCCATCAATGTAGTTTGTGACCTTTAGTTCTTTGACAGCTGAAATTCGTGTTTTGGTGAAGATGTGCTCAGGCGCGGGATTTACAAGAATATGGTGCGTGTGGGAGCGGGTTCATTTTCAACATACAGGTAACAACTACATCATTCATCCCCCCTGTAAATTAACTCAGGAATAAAAACTGGAATCGTTGAATTAGGGCCTTTGTTTGATCCTTTTTTTTGTTTATAGATGTAAGCTTTAATATGTCACATAAATTGGGACAAATCAATTTCCACACACTTAAAAAATTACAAAACTTGGTAAGGGTATGAATAATTTAGTTGTTAACTGTATGCCTCGCTTCTATAATCAAGACTGATTGGGGGCGTTGGACTGGAAGAAATATGGGAGGCATGTGCCCCTCAAGTGCCCCTCTATAGAACCGCTACTGGAAATGCTATTTACGAAGAAAAGAAATGAACTTGAACCTGACTTTGATGCATAGGCCAATGTCATACGGGAGACCCAGATGTGACACAACGAATAACAGGCTTTACCTAACGACAGGGTCGAGGTTCTGGTCAGGCGATTACATTGAGGAAGAATTGTCTGGAGGCAATTATTGGGAAAAGGTGAGTTGTGTCGAAGAAGATGTATACTGTGAAATGTTGATATGATTAAATGAAAGATATTTTAGATGAAATGTTTATGCACAAATAAACTGGTATAAGGATCAAGTGGCGTAGATAGTAGACACAGGGGCCGGTGAACTAATTGCCCCTCCCACCCCTCCCCATCCAGTGGTAAAAAAAAAAAAAAAATACAATTAAGAGAGAGAGAGAGAGAGAGAGGGAGAGAGAGAGAGAGAGAGAGAGAGGGAGAGAGAGAGAGAGAGAGAGAGAGTCGGAGAGAGAAAGGGAGAAGGTGAGAAGGACGAGCAAGGAAGACGCCTGCACCACCTCCCACACCCCCTAAAGCTCTCATGTCATTTTCCTAGTAAGATCGGTCCCACCCCAACCCCCCCCCCCCCCCCCAAAAAAAAAAAAAAAAAAAAAAAAAATCTTTCCTACTGTATGGGATTTATCTATGGAGTACAGACACACATGTTGTACGAAAGTTTGGTCCGACAAAGTTTTCCATCTATGCCATATTGTTGCCCGTAAGGTTGGAATTCATTTTTGTTACCTCTTTTCATGAAATGATTGTGACAAATATATCATCGATAAATAAAGTTTATAATTATCTTCTCAGAATTATATTCAATCTAAACCAAAAAGGGATCGGTTAATTAAAGTTTTGAGAAGATCTTAACTATCTATCAAGAATACTTTAAACCTGGCCTCACCAGAACTCAAGCTTCTCCAATAAAACAGAAATGTCATACTTTACATAAGAGAGAGAGAGAGAGAAAGAGAGAGAGAGTGTGTGTGAAAGGAGGGGAGTAGTTAGCGAAGAATACAAGATGATCTAATTATCACGGTCACAATTGATTTTTCTTTCCAATATTGATTTTCTTATTCTGTAACTTTCAATAACTTTATTATAAAGCGAAAGGATTAACGCATTCCATAAAACGGGGAAAGCTTTCATGGCTTTAGATATGCGTTCCATAAAAGTACAATCGCAAAAAATCCTTTGTGTGGTTTTGGGAAACGAAAGGCGTGACAGGCAGAGCTACAAGAAGTCAACATCATCTTCGTTTCACCAGACTTGGTACCATACATCCTCTATTTCTTAAAAGTAGTAGTACAGCTTCTTTCCCCGCACCATGAAAGACTGGGATGAGCTTCCTACAAATATCATTGAGCTGCCCACATTGAAGCAGTTCAAGGAAGCCATCAGCTGCGAATAGTCACAGCATCATCAGTTTTTACTTGCACCATAAACATGTATATAATTAGGCACTAATTCACACAAGCCGTCCAGCGTCGGCAGAAGATCACACTTGTCTAGATGTTGAACAGGCTTTGACAAGTAGCAGAATAGAAGTAGAACTGTTCTTTTTATAAAGAGAAGGTTGAGTTTTGGAAAAGGTGAAAATAATGTATAAGCCTTTTCATTCCTTTTTTTAAAATGTTAATGTGGAAGAGTATTATTTGTTATCAAATGCAATGCTTGGAAACATTCGAAGTAATTATTATTATCAATTACAAAACGCTTAAATACAGCCCCGACATAGCACCTGAAGAGCTCTCCGAACGCTGCTGAGATGTGTGACAGTAGTAGTAGTAGTAGTAGTAGTATTAGAAGTAGTAGTAGTAGTAGTAGTAGTAGTAGTAGTAGTAGTAGTATTAGAAGTAGTAGTAGTAGTAGTAGTAGTAGTAGTAGTGGTAGTAGTAGTAGTAGTAGTGGTAGTAGTAGTAGTAGTAGTAGTAGTAGTAGTAGTAGTAGTAGTAGTAGTAGTAGTAGTAGTAGAGATCTGTAGTAGTAGTAGTAGAAGTAGAGATCTGTAGTAGTAGAGTAGTAGTAGTAGTAGTTAGTAGTAGGAATAGTAGTAATATATCAGTAGTAATAGCAGTATCTCACATTCTCATATATTGTCAGCTTACTATTACAACATCGCTCCATCTTCGTAACTACTTTTAGTATTATTACTAGTACTACCACGAGTCATCATAGCAATTGTACACAACTAAAGAAACGAATGAATGAACTATATACATACCTCTGCCCTGCAAACGAATTATGTCGGTCGCTGTGATTATCATCTCGGCCAAGCTTCAGATCTCCCCTCGCAGAACAATTGTATTAATTGGATACAGTTTCATTCGTTCATTGGCACTTGCAGAATACTTTGACGGCAAAATTCCCAGGCTATCAAAAACGACGTCTGAATGTTCGTATATATATTACGTTACGCGGTATCATGGCAAAACCGACAACTATAATTGTCATTCTTCTTCAGCAAGCTCAACCAACTTTCACATAAAACATTATAAACAACAGTCCGTGTTCTCGCGGGAGCGGAGTCGATTTTTTCACAATAGGCTTCACAAAACTGGTATTAGGTTCATGGTGTATGGTACCTTTTTTTCCAGCGTACCTTTCAAACTGGATCCTGTGTGTGTATGGTATGCCCCCATGCGTGACTCGCGGGCTTGGGACTTTCACCCATTCTCTTTTTTTCCCCTAAAACTTTTGTTGACTTTTTTGTTTGTAGTCTTTGTGATCCAGACCTAACCGATAGATCCGTCGCTTCGTGCTTCAGCACGGGTTGGTCTCACTCGTGAAAGTTCGTGGAACCAGGGAGAACTCACATCTCCCTGGTGGAACTCAACGCGTTTTCGACAATGTATTGCGTTCTCTTTTAGATTTTGTTTTATTTTACCTGAATTGTCAAGCGTAAGACATGTATATATTTAGAATGCGGGGTGTATAATGGGGATAGCTAGGGACATTGGCAGGATAAGCCCCCTACCCCCCCCCCCACCCCCCAAAATGAACTAGAAATTAGCTTGTTCCGGAGGGTATTTCATAACATTGATTAACCAAGAAGCTCCTAGCTTGGTCTAACCTTGATACAGAAATTTTAAAAGAAATAGGCGTAAACTCTTCCAGTATACATAATTCCACCAATTGTATATAGAGAATAATATCATGAAACACATAGCTTGGTCATATAAGTAATTTATTATTGTTTATAAAGGAATGGCTATATATTTTCAATTATCAAGCTTAGATTGATTGAACAAAATGTCAAACGAGAATAGTTAATAAAGTTTTATAAAATCCAAGGAAAGAAAATAAGAAACTTCAGCAAATCGATGTACTACTCTCCAACAAAATATACAGCTTTTTAACATATTCAGACTATTATATACAGTGTGCAGTAGAACATCACATTGTTTTTATAAGAACATGTTTCTAGATACATGTTCCGGACAGAGGTACAACTATGATGAATAGTTTTTTTTGCGGTAAACGATTTTTTTTTTTTAAATTCCCTCAAGATGTTACTCATCCGATTCTCAAATCATTTAACTTTATTCAAATCAACTTAAGGACAGAGTGAAGTGAACATGGCGTCAATTTACAATGAAAAAGAGTCTTTGATTATTTTCAAAAATTTAGTTGGATGAGTCAGAAATTCGTCATTTAAAATCAACTTTAAAGTGGCGAAGTAACGGGAAGGGGCAAAAAAGAAAGGAAAATACAGATGTAGATAGGGAGAGAGGGAATTTATAAGCCTGTCTGAAAAAACACTGAACGACCCCCTCCTATACTTTACCACCCCTACCCCCCCCCCCCCGGCCGTGTTCTTTAGCATGTCATCCATCTTGTAAACGGGATTGTCCCTGTAAGTGGAGGATCCAGGATTCCATAACAGAGGGGGAGAGGACGATGGGGGAGGGGGCACAAATCCTAAAATTCCGTGACAAGCCCCCCCCCCCCCTTTGAATCCCACCTGTACTACTTGTAGCTGCTTGCTCCCTCTATATAGAAAAAACAAGCCTAATCGGTGACCATTGGTACCCCATGATTCCTCTTCTTCTTATGTTAATTGAGAGCTGAGTTGATGAGACAGCCACCTGCCAGTGAGCACCCTGGGTGGTCTAATCCCTCTTGGCCAAACTAGTGCAGACGGTCTTTAAAAAAGTCACCATATTATCTATAATGACACAGCAATGTTTCAGCTGTTTCTCATGCTCAACATGTACGAGTAAGCGAGAACATACAAACCGCTGTGTCAGTCCTGGAGAAGAAAAAAATCTACACTTTCCATGAACTCTTGACTTCTAACTTGTATTTAAAAGCAGGAAATACGAAGTTTTCTGAATACCGACATCAAAAAGAAAGAAATGGCAATCCTTATGATATTCGAGGGAGGTTTCCCCTTTTTATTTATTCATTACATGAAATATGCAGACGGCAGGAAATTATTAATAAATCATAAATTTACCCGGGGCTCTCTATGATCTTACACTTAATGTAGAAAACTTTGATAGAAATCTGCATTCTGCACTTAAAAGATTACCCTTTAATCATCAATACAGACTAATATAGCCCGGAATACATGCGATTCGGGTAATTCTCGTAATATCAAGAAAAAGAAGAAAATAGCAGGCGAAATAAGCTTTGTAAGTAATGTAGCTTTATATTCCATGCATAATAAAAATAAAAAAAACAAGAACTTTTCATGAAATTATTTGACAGTTTAATGTCGTCCAAAATATATCACTTAAAATCATAAATACAACATGGTAGATTTCTGAAAGGGCACCTAGGGCGGGGATAGGATAGGAAGAATTTGTAATAGCTTTATGCCATTTGTCTTTTGCGGTGAATTGCCATTTGGTCTACACCCAGTCCGTCTACTATTACCGACATGGTCTAATAGGAGGCGCGATTGCTCAGTTGGTAGAGCAGTGGTCTCGTAATCCGACGACCCAGGTTCGAAACCAAGTCCATGCGCTAGACAAGTGCCCTTTGGTATTAAGACATTAATCTTCATTACCAGATCCCTCGGAGAGGACCTAAAGCCGTCGGTCCTCAGTGGTTGCTTACTAACAAGCATTTATGCTTTCACAGCAGTCAGGTAATAAAAAAAAACTCTTCTACTACAATAATCATTTTCTCTACTTATCGTTTTGTCTAATGACCATTTAGGCTAATAGTTATTAGGCCTAGTCTCCATATGGTCTGATAGGTGACACGACATTTGCTCCTGCGACAATTGCTCCGGGCTTTATTTCGTCTAAGATGTAGGGTTAGGGTTAGGGTTTCAATAGGGTTTTATGTTAGGTTTAGGGTTAGGTTTAGGGTAGGGTATAGTGTTGAATCCAGGGTTGAAGTTAGCCATTCGATTAGTGTATGAAATTTACAGCGGAGCAATTGTCGCCGGAGCAAATGTCATGGAATCGGTCTGATATCCTATTATTTTACTAACCATTTGGTCTATTGTTCATTTAGTCTAGTAAACAGTTAGTCTAATACCCGTTCCGCCCACCATCCATCAAGTCTATTAATCATTTGATGATTATTTTTTATTCATGATTAAATGACTATTAGACCATATGGGTAGCAGACAAAATGGACTTTAGACAAACTGGGAATAATCCGACTGGAAATAGACTAAATGAATAGTAGACCAAGTTGGGTAGTAGACGAACTGGAGACCAAACGGCAATAAACCTTTTTTTGCGTTCCGCTTCCTAATTTTGGCAGAGAGTAATTGACTATATTTCACTGGTTGACTTTGTTTAATAGCTTTAATACCTGTTGTTTTTTAAATAGAAAAACCATATGCTTCACATCAATTACGCGCGTGTAGAGATTGATGTAATCTCAGTAGTACATGAATGTCCCTAAGCGCTTAGGTTTACTACAGCAAGAAAAGAAACATTTCACTTGTTTTTGTTTGATATTTCACTTCTCACTCATTGCATGCAGTGGTACGCGAATTTCACGTTATTTCATCAACGTGATCTTGTAAGTTTATTCGTTATGAAATCTCAAGGTAGACAAAATATTAGACATAATGTAATTTTTCTCGTACCATTATTGCTGATTATTCGTCAACAAAACAATACAAAATGTAAAAGGGCACCTTATAGTGTAACTCTCCACCTTCATAATCAAGGATAACAATTCGATTAATTAAAACAAAAATTATTTCTCCCCCCCCCCCCTCCCCCAGGCAGGAACAAGAGATGCCAAATACTTATAGGGATCACTGAAATCCAACCCTCGGTCTAAGATTACGTTTACAAAGGAAAATCTGAGATCTCAGACTAACTCCTTTCGCTAAACCCGATTTAAATTTTAGGATAATACTTTACGGGTCGATGGCAATGACACAAACTCCTTCCTTCCTTTCTTTCCAGGATTTGCTGCCATCTACGTTAAAAAAAACTATTTAGTTTTTACGACCAGGCGAAGAACACATACAGGCAGGCACCGTTTATATAATTTTTCTCCTTCCAACTCCGGGACTCTCATCCAATCGAATCCACAATCTTCCCCCACTGGCACTGCTTTTTCCCTTTTTAAACTTCGAATTCAATCAGGGCCCGTCTTATACAGAGTTGCGATTGAACAGAATCAATCGCAAGCTCTCTTTAATGATCATCCTTACTCTTACCATGTACGTATTTTTTTTCTTCTTCCTCCCTCTCTCCTACCCCCCCCCCCCTCCCCCCCTCTCTCTCTCTCTCTCTCTATTCGCGTCTTTCCCCACACCCCTTCATCAGTTCTCTTTCTCTCTCTCTCTCTCTCTCTCTCTCTCTCTATTTCATTCTCTCTCTCTCTCTCTCTGTGTCTCTCTCTATTTCTCTCTCTATCTATCTCTCTCTCTCTCTCACTCTCTCTCCATCTCTTGCTCTCCTGTTTGTTTCGTCTATCACTTTACCATGCATAATGATTCACTGTAAACTTAAATCAATACCCAAATGCAGTCATTAAATGCAAACAGACAACGATCACTGTTTAGATTTTCACATTTTATTGACAATACAAAGCAAAGCATTCATGAATGCCTATTACGTTATGTCCATGTTTAAAACACAGTCAAATAATTGCACTCAATAAAGACTAATTAAATTCGTAATTCCCCAACTTCATCAGGGGTCAATTTTTACGTAAATTCTACGCCCAGCGAAAAACCTAGCTGGGCATACACCGTCGATACGGACGGATTTGTGGATCACGCCATCTTCGGCTTGCAGCAGGTAGGGGGTGGGAGAGATCGCGTTATAATAACACTATCCATTATAATTTTGTTGCGCCAGTTGAGAGACCGAGGGACGTTAACACAATTATCTTATTGAATGACAGGAGTTGACGACTTTCGAATTCCAGCAGTCGCTTTTAAAACATGTGCAAAACTTTCAATGCATCCGTGTGTGGGTGTGTGCGTGTGCGTGTAATTTTATTTTTATTTTATCTACGTCTGCGGACCGACCATTAACGTCACCAAAGTGCATTAAAATAGTGCGTTATAAGTATTAACCGAAGCTTGTAAACCAAAGCAAAAAAAAAAACTGCAAACAGACAATCTT